CCAGGTGGTGACCCTGGACAGGCCACAGCAACCTGGAGTGTTTCACTTAGCTGTAAATTAGAAATTAGCAAAGACTTTGTGTCTTTTTAAGCTAAAAATCTCACAATGGTTATAATTTTATCTGGACTTTGTTTTCAACAGATCCAAGTAGATGAGGATTGAATGAAGTGAATATCAAAGCCAGTAGTATGTCATTACTGATATTGCAGGCCTTACAATTGCAAATATCAGCAGAAAGACTTACTAGCAATCTTTGGATTACCTAAGCCTTTCTCTTGGGTGCATCTTATGTTTCCTAAGTTGTAGCTTTGTCTCTGTGAGTGTATGATTTTGTCAATGCAATAAGCATGTGCAAAAAGAATTTTAATAGGTAAAAATAGTCTTATGTTAAAGCAAAGATTCAAGTAATTATTTAGCTATTACTCTAATTTTAGTTTGTTTCTTAATATGTTTGTCTATAATAATATTAAGCGCTATGTTTTTATCTCAAATAATTATTAAAGCTTCAACATAAATAATTTAGTTGTTCTTTTAATATGGGATTATGGTTTGAAGCTAGTTAAAATCTATGATGTAAAAGCAACATCTTACTTCCTAACCATCTATACAAGATACCTACCAATACAGCATTTGCTTTTTTAATTGTAGGACACTATTATTTCTTTTCTGCTCCACAGGAGATAATAGTTTTCAAGGTACCATGATGCGGCGGCCTTGCCCTGTTGTTCCTTTTCTCTCTGTGTGTTCTAGAGATGCTGAAAAGCGAATGTGCCCGGGAGCACTGCATCGTTCACAGGACTTCACTGCCCTGGCGTGTACTGGCCCCTTTGCTGAAACCCTCCCCTGCACGCTGCCACTTCAGAACCCTGCCCCCAGAGCAGGGCCCTCTCTGATGTCCCTTTTTCACGAAGCTTCCATGATCCCCTCCAATCCGACAAGATTTACCTCTGCTCTGACTCCCAGACTTCCTTGTTGTTCTTGACCTCCCGTTTTCCACTCTCTGCTTTGGGTTATAGTTATTTGCATGCATGTCTTTTCTTCCAAGTACCATTCTTGCGAGTAGGAGTCTTTGTTTTTAATCCTTCATTATGTCTAGCACATGGCAGGTGCTAAATAATTCTTTGTGGAATAAATAATCACGTTTCCCCTTGTTAGTTTAGCCTGGTAGTTCATTTGACATCTGTTTTATTTGGCATTTTAGTGTATGGAGTTTTTCTGAAAATTAACTGACCTCTGTTATTTCCCATATAACACTGCTTAACAAATTGAGATCTAAGGTCTCAGAAAAAACAGATGCCAATAGTTTTAATGATGTACTTTTCTTTAATTATGAGAACAGTTCTAATTACTTTTTTAAATGCAACAAGATTGGTTCTTTTGGTAAATACGTAGTTGAGGACTTTCTCCAGCAACATTGCCCTTCCCAGGCCTCTTTGTGATTCTGTGTTTGGACTTTCTTTCTACACAAAGTGAACACAGTTTAATATCATGTTTCAAAATCCTAGCCACGTCTCTGAAATCCAAATTAGAAATAAAGTAAAAAACAGAAATGGGAGCACAGTGAATTTTACAATTTTTCATTATTACATTTTTATTTTTCAAGTAATACATTATCTCATTCTTTATCTTTTTTGTTTGGACTAGTAGAGTCCTGAGAGATGTAGAGGATTTGGAAAAGTGAAGGGCTTTAATAACAAAGATGGAGATGAATGGAAGGAAAACATTCCAGGATCTCATTTCCTGTCAAAGCTACACCTCTACTGGTGGGTATTCAGATAGCTGCTGGAGTGACTGCTGAGAGAAGAACCTAGATAACCACGAATTCTTGTGTGGAGGTCACTATGGTGGTTTAGGCAATTCTCATTCTGGCAACTCTTGGCAAGTGATTTCTATGATCACTGCCAGCTGGGGGCACAGCAGCCCTTTTGGCGGAGAAGCAGAAAGCAAACCATTAGTGCTAGACAAACATGAGTCTACTGATTAGTCATCGAGGTGTAAAGTCAGTCGGTTTGGTCAACCAAGTCTCTTAGAAGTGACACAAGAGCCATTGTTGATTGGACTTGATTGTGTTTCCTAGTTCATGGGTTTTCTGGCTCTTGTCCTTGTGTCTTTCACTCCTCAATTAAGGAAATTCCTAGATAATGAAGTCAGGTTAATCGTGTTACTGTTTAACAGTGTCTCATTTCACTTGAAGATTTGCCCAGGATTTAGAAGGTGTTGACACTCTCAGATACAGTCCTGTGGATAGCAAAGTGCTACTACTAAGAATACCACATGGGAATGGGAAAGATGCCCACTGTGAGTGAGTGCCTGCCACTGTGTTTATTCCACAATCTCTCCCAAACAACAGTCAGTAGAAGCTACGAGCCCTTGTTGCACCTCTCTCCATGCCCCAGAGCTCAAAAGGAAAATGGACCATGGCTAGGGGCACTGGATTCCATCTTGGCATCCACTGAGGTGTCGCTTAGCTGGATCTTTAACCCAAGTGCTAACTGATGCTGTTAACTTTCTGCAGTGATGCCAGGAAATAATAAGGAGGAAATAACACTCTGCTTATCTTGTGCTAGCTGGTTTTATTCAGGGAACCATGTTTCTTTTGCCAAAAGGCACCAAAGTAACATCACGCTGTTTAGTATACTTGGAAAGATGAATTATTAGGAGGTCTTCTGATGTCTTGTAGGAACTGTTATATACCTAAAAAGCGAGACTTTCTTAGCTGCTCACCAGAAGGATCAGGCCTGGTATTATGCTAGTAAATTTCCCATGAATTAAGCAGATATTCCCTAGGTTTATAAACTTGTGTTAAAATATAATCCTTCACTGAGTCATTAAAAGCAGTGTGCTTTTTGTGTGTGTAATTTTTCACTTCTAGTAAAGTTATAATGTTAACCTAGTGTGAGTATCTGTATGTAAATGTGTGAACATGTAGTTAAATAGGGGTGCACATGGAAGCATTTCAGACCTACAAAGTGCCTTCTACATCTACCTGTGTGACTTTTGATAAGTCATTTAACTTTTCTAGGCTTGGTTTTCTGTTTGTAAAATGCTGACTAATGGTACTACCTCACAGGGTATTATGAGGATGAAATGAGCCGACACATTTTGAACTGTGCTTGGCAGAGGCTCCATAATATTAGTCATTTGTCTCAATGATATTAGTCATTATTAATATTACTTCACATGATCAATTTTTAAGATGTTGTGTATTTTCTTAATTTATAGCTACCCAACTATATGAGCTGATTTAACCATTCTTGGTTGGTAATAAATAAAGGACTTAAAATAATGTTACACTTTTCCCCTCCCTCGAGATTTTTTTTTTCAATTTGATGGAGAACAAGAAGAGAAGTCCTTGAGCAAACCAACTGTGAGCAGTGATAAGTCAATGATGATCTAAAGCGATATTTATGAAAAGCTATTCAGGAGGTTAGGGATTGTGTACAATCAATACAGGGCTATTGACCTCGGGTGCCTGGGGTTATATGCTAGGGAAAACACTGATTTTTTTTTTTTTTTTTTTTGAGGAAGATTAGCCCTGAGCTAACTGCTGCCAATCCTCCTCTTTTTGCTGAGGAAGACTGGCCCTGAGCTAACATCGTGCCCATCTTCTTCCACTTTATATGTGGGACGCCTACCACAGCATGGCATGTCAAGCAGTGCCATGTCTGCACCTGGGATCCGAAACAGTGAACCCCGGGCCGCCTAAGCAGAACCTGTGCACTTAACTGCTGCACCACCAGGCCAGCCCCAAAACTGATATACCTTTAGTTGAAATATAGAATTAAAACCTGGCTCGTTCTGTCCATTGTCACTTCTACCTACCTACTTACACACACACACACTCTCCACCTGTATTCCGCTTGCTGAGGAAAATGAATAAAAATGTTAGCATAATCACCTTCAAACACACAAGGGTATATAAGGAAAACTGATGTAAACAAAGTTATTACTTTAGAAATCCTCTAATCAAACTCATTTTATATGATAGGTTTATCATCCATTTCACTTTTATAACTAAGCTAATATAGAAAATATGTTTCAGTTTGTTTTGTTTTTTTTAACCAAATGCATGTTTACATTTTCAGGGTCTATTCAAAATAAAATTGAAGTGAATATACTTAGATTCCTTTGTTAATATGTACATTAGTATGACATGCCAAAAAGATACAATCCTTGTTCTTTAGGCAGAGGGGAATTTTCCAAATGTCAATGAATTGACGAAATGTTTTTCTCGTTTTGCTGTACTTTGTTTTTGTCTTTTGAAGATTTTTAGTCATCGCTTGTCTTGATCTCTTTCTTCCTTTTGATCTAGTATTGAAGTCGCGGTTCCACCTGTGCTCTGTGCACGAGTGAATGTAAGGCTAACTGCTTTGACTTCAGAATCACATGTGAGATCACAAACAAGAATTGTCCCTCCCTGCTTTGTGGCTTGTATCATCTGTTCTTGGAACTGGAATCATCAAAATGACGCACGAAGCGCATGTAGATGACTCCAAATTGTAGTGCCATTTCCACTCGCTAGCAGGCTGCTTTGTCCCACCAGTTGCTCTCAGAGCAGAGCCCAGAAGAAAGTAGATGCAGACGGACAGGTTTGCAGCTGAAAGGAAACAAAATGGAATGGTTGTGGAAGGACATGCCTGGGTAGGATGCTCAAAGGAAGCAGCTTGCTGCCGGCCCAATGTTTGAGAAGTGACCGCAACAGGCAGTGGTGAGAGGGCACTGGTGACAAAGCTCACCTTCATCCCAGTTTTGCCCTGACCCTGTTGTCCACTCACGTAGTGTCTGGTTTGTAAAGACGCAGATCCTCTGTGTTGTGTAGAAGGTTTCAATATACAAAAACCTCTTAGATCCTGGTATACCATTAAATGCCAAAAACGTAGTGGAGGGCTGAGTTGTAAATGTCTGTGGTTCCTATGATTGAATGTATTTTCTCCTGCATGATCATCCATTGTGGTGTTTGTAAGTAGCAGAAAATGAGCCTGATTTGTTCTCCTTTGTAGAGCCAGGCCGAGGCCCACTACAAAGGAAGTAAACATGCCAAGAAGGTCAAAGCACTAGAGGCAACGAAAAATAAACCCAAAATGGTTTCTTCCAAGGACAGCGCAAAGGCTAATCCCAGCTGCTCCATCACTCCAATCACAGGCAACAGCTCTGACAAATCAGGTCAATGCCACTTTTTGTTCTTTACATTCTTTGTGTTCCTCCTGGTCCCCTGCCCCAACCCCATTCTCCTCCCCTCAGCTGTTGCATGTTACTCTCCATGGTTTGTTCTTATAATATGAATATGTTTCCTTCACAGGAAGGGTTATGTGTTTGCCCGGAATCTAAGCATTTGATGTTACCATTCCATATTGTTAAATATATACATTGAAGTATATATGTGTGTGTGTAAATATATCTATATAAGTATCTATGCATGAAAATAAGTAGAGGCAGCTTAGTCAAAATGTGTTTAGACAAAAATCAAGAAATGCATCTAAAATACCGAGTTTATTATTCCTTTCTATTCATTTTATGTTTGGTTTTTACTACAGACTTTTTTTAAAACTTGTTTTTAAATAAAATAGACATTTTTATATTCTCTCACCCCAGTAAAGGTGAGTGGAAGGGCAGAAAGGGGAAGTTTTCTGAGTGGCATCATTAAATGGATCTGGAAATGTGTTCCATAATAAAAGATTTTGATTTTTGAAGATCTTCATAGAGTTCCCCTCAGAGCTGCAAACGAATTTGAGGATTTGAAGGGAACTATTTACAAAGTTATGAACTGACTACAAAAGAACTTTCTATAATTGGAAATGGCTTACTAGTGGACGCGCCTCTTAAGAAGAGTCTGTATTTCATAATCCCAATGAATCAGCAGATTTTCTGAGTAGCTTCAAACTGAATGATTCAGAGAGAAGGGAAGAAATTCATTTTTCTAGCATGTATACCATGAAATTGGATGTTAAACAGGCTTTCACACACTCACATCTGCCCCTGGAGGCCACAATGGCTAAGTCATCTTGTTTCCGTGATTAATTGAGGAACAGTGTCTATCAAAGGAGATTAAGAAAATATGTCCTTTTCTCTTATGTTTGACTCTTTCTTTGGGGACCTCTCTGTTGTTGGAAACACAAACACACAGGCACACACACCCTTACCCTTCTCTTCTGCTTCTCTTCTGCTCTTCAAATCCTTGTGGAATTTGAGGAGGAGACTTAAGAAGGCTTTCCTGTGGCTGCCCAGGGCCTTTGGAAAAGAGCAAATCCATTACTGTGAGAGGAAGTTTCAGAAAAGCCTAGTCAGACAGAGAGACAATGTAGGAAGGAACCATTATTGATTAGGTCCCGTAGATGCTGGTTCCAAAAGCTTGGCAGCCTGGAAGGTTATTTGGGTTAGTGAGCTAACCCAAATTTGGTTAATAAAGACTTTTTGTTCTTTGTATAACAGAATCACTAAATCATGTCGTGTGATCAACAGATAATAAATATTAGATTATTACATTGCACTTCTCCCCTTCGAAAGTTACAAAGCCTTTTTATGTATGTTATCTAATTAATCTTTAACCCAGATCTATCAGATATTACAGTCAAACATTATCTCCAGTTTACAAAATAGCAAACCCAGGCGAGGTCCACCTTGGGGCCGTTATTTGCTGGAGATTACTCAGTATTTGGAAGAACAGGATCTATCATTGCTTGACTTCCTGCTTGGTTTCATTTTCCACACAATATTGTTGCCTCTATGAAACAGAACTCTGTCAAAGGTTTTATTGCCTGAATTATACTCTTTACCTGCAGCAATACTCATAAGCAAAATGATGAAACAATGGAGGTTAGTGTCACTCCCTTCTTTCAGCTTATTTTGTGTCTTGAGCTAGTAGCACGGTTCCTAGGTACTGTAAATGTTCCAATGTTGCTATTGCGTGTGCTCACTGCTCCCCTTAAGTTATATTATTTTTTGGGAATTGGGTTTGCTCTAGGGAGAGTAGTAAAAGTAATGAGCAGAAGAAAGTGTTAAAAATGGAAATAGAGAAGTCTCAATGACAGAAGAATCAATAAAAGAATAGAAAGCAATTAGAGAAGGAAAGGTGTGGAAGAAGGGGAAAGGAAGTAGGAAAGAAAGTCAAAGATTAGGGGATAGACCTAAGGAAAGAGTGCTATGGAAAAAGAAAATCCAAATAAAGGGGCCTGGGTCACAATCATGACACGCCTTATACCTGCAAGGTGCCCAATGAGCTTATGTTAAAAGAAAGTTTAACAATTCAAGGCTTTTATTTCAACCCTCGAATGCTGGCGAATGCTCTGTGAAACAGAGAGACTTCCTGAGCAGCTGGGTTTGCCTAGTGAACAACAGGAACGCACCAGGGTCAAGTACAGCAGAGTCATAAACAAGGAAAGAGAACTGGGATCTGGAAGAACCCCAGGGGCTGAGAGTGGAGTGAGGGGGAGACAGATAACCACAGAATCTCTTCCTCAGGAGCTATGAGGCGGTCTTCAGTCCTGCACGCTCTGCTTCCTCTGCCACTTCCCTATCCACCCGCAGAGTACCTGTGGTCCAACAGTACTGGCCTCCCTTACCATGCCACTGTGCAGAATTGGACTAGATGTAATGGAAACCACCTATTATTTAGGGTTACCTCATTTTCCATGTTTCCTTACTCAAAAGTTGTATAAATTATTTGGTAATTCATTGGTTGGGTCATTCAAATTACTTTTTTGTTTCTCCATATTTTATATAAATGTTAATACTAATGAAATATTTTATTTGTTCTATTATCTCCACAAAAGCAATACCAAAGTTGTTGAAAGATGGCACTGTTTTAAAAATAAAGTGGGTTGTATTTGCTAAATAGATACATATTCTTTTGTCACCTTTAACTGAATGTTGGCTACTAAGCAAGAATTTCCACATATGTTTTGTAGAATTTTCAAGTTGGGAAATTAGAAGTTTTGCCCAGATGGGAAATCTGGTCTAAATAGTGTAATACATAACCTTTGTTAACTACCTTTCTAAATCCTTAAAAAGCTTCCACAGCTTTGTCAGAATCATAGATTTTTTTGGTAGCGGGTTCTTATTTCATTTAAAACCTGTCTTAGAAGAAAAGAAGACATGAAAACTTCATAAATGGTCTAGGTGAGATGTAGAGGGGTGGGGGAGGGAAGAAGAATAGTGACTGTGGCACTTAATTGGATGAAATCTTTTATTTCTGACAACATTGCCTCTGAGTCAGCCAAAAATTAGTAAAAGTCACAGTGAAAAGTCATGGTTGACTAGCAAATCTTAGGAGACTGAAATTCCCTAGCATTGGTCTTTTTCTTCTTAATGACGAGCTCCTGTCAAGTGGGCTTAGGCAGTATCTATGTGATTGTTAGTTATTTGAATGAAAAGTAAAAATGTTAGTTACTTGAGGTCTCAGCTGCCAGATTTCAGCTATCCAGGCATTCACAATATCTATAGAACTGATTAATTCAATTTCCATTTTCATGTTTCAGCATCAGTAACCTAGCAGTAGAATGTTGTTCAATGAAGGCGAATCATGAGGGAGAGGAAATAGCCAGTTGTTGAGGGAAGAAGCTTCTGGGAGAACAGATCCTGGAATTCCCTGAACATCAGTCAGAAAAGGGTGATTTCAGAGTATCTGACAAGGTGCATGAGACCCACAGATGACCTCTCTCTGCTCCTTGAGAATACAGAGTATTTCTTCTAAGAAGTGGCCTAACAATCTTCCAAGAGCTAGAAAAGCCTTTTTACCTGCTATTTTGGCACATGGGACAACCATTTTTTTCTCTTATGTTACGTCTGGAAACGTAATTTGCTTCATAGATTCTGGTATCTGGATCTGTGCAATACGAAGAGATTTGTCATAATGGAGCTATCAGATAAAAAATGCCAGGGTGTCATGGCAAGCTTTCTTTTTTTCTCAGGTCAGTAAACAAAATGAGTTTAAACTACAATAGCAAGAATTTCATTGATTATAAAAATCTCTGACCACATGATTGGGAAAAAAAATAAATATGTTTCATTAAAGGCAGTTAAGTAAGAATAGCTGTCCCGTTTACTTTTGAGAAGTTGGGGTAGAATTAAATGTAAAATCCAGAGAAATGGCTTTTTGGTCTCCTAGGATCTATCCCAACTTTTAATGATGTATCAACGGGAGTTCAAAACATGGTAGGAGGGAGGAGAAATGTGCTTTGGGAGAATTGGGGTCAAAACACAGCAAGCATTAGGCAGCTTCAGGAAGATGGCTAGAACATATTGGACACTCTACCCAAATTTCTCCCTGGAGTTCAAGTGTCATAATGCCATATGACAGTACATTTCCCTGTGATAATATGGCCTATATATCAAATTGAATGCTCTTTTGTGACAGCATTTTACCACTCATAACAGGTTCCAAAAACCGAGAGCCTTCGAAAAATCTTATTTCTTGAAAATAATAAAATATTGTGAGAATCAACCTAATGATAAAATATTGTGATAGTCAACCTAATGGTCCATATGTCTAGTCTTTAGCACGAGATGTTTTTTTAAAATTAATTAGATATTAAGATGGGGAAAAATACATTTCTAGTTCAAAGTATATAAAGCTATTTAGAGCTAAACAGCCTTTAATCAGTTGCTGTCTAAACAGATGAAACAGATGGAATGACTCAAAATGCTATAGATATATTTATAAATGCAATTAAGAGCAAAGATGATGGAACCAGCATATTCTGCTTGAAATACAACAATAGGAACACCTTAAATTTGTTCAGTTTATAAAATCCAGTCACATATATGTTTTTGTATGACCCTCTCAACAACCCTGTGACAGGGAGGGCTGAAATTAGTATCCATTTTTCATTCATTCATTCAACAAGCTTTATATCCATTTACTCACTCAACAAATATTTATTGTCTATACTAAATAGTATAGTATTAATGTATATTTTACCAGATACTAGGGTGCAATAATGAACAGAAAGACATTTTCTTGCCCTCAAAGAGCTTCCAAGCTAGTGTTGGTTTTTCTTTTCACTGTGTTGGATATTAGGGTTGCAAAGGAAATTAATATATAGTCATCACTTTCAAGCTGCTCCCAAAAATATGGTTACAATGAAGAACCCGAGTCTTGAAAAGGTTAAATGACTTGTGTAAGTTTGCACAACTCATACCCCAATAGCATCAGAGCAGGAGCTCAG